AGGAGGATGATATGGAGGATGAGGAGGAGGAGGAGGAGGAGGAGGAGGAGGAAGAGGAGGGGAAGAAGCGCGCGAACTAAGAACAAAGCTGAGCTGAAGCATAAACGTTTACCTAGCCAAACATGTAATACTGGTTACGATGTCATATTTCAGTCGCTGTTTGGTGGACCCTGTTCTACAAAGAGAGTGGTTGTTTTAACTACTTTTGCATGATGAGACTTCGCACACCCCATTACTTAAATCACAGCGGCGGAGAAGTCGCCTGACTACTCTCTGAACGCGTAAGCTCATGGCCGCAGTGAACTCCGGTTGCCCCCGTTTTTATGCTGGCCTTGAGGTTTCTGTGATCATATGTTTGCTTGGAATCCCATGACAGTGACACGACTCAGGACCTTTAGACCACATGACATGCAGCCCAGTCAGAATATTTTGAGTGGCAGGGATTTTCGCAAGGGAACCAGATCCTCGAGACTTTTTTTTTCTACATAACTTAATTCGACACCAACTGGCATTATCGGACGCCCAACTAGTATATGATTATTTGGATGACATCAGATTCATAGTCAGTGGCAGCTAACGCCGATTACTCTCAAACTCCCAGAGGTGAGAGTTCCGGAGTAGAGTGCGTTTGTGCGGGTTACATTTACAAAGTTTTAATTCCTTCCAGACTTGTGAAAGTTGCAGATCTGGGGTGAAAACCTGTCATTAAAAAGTTTGCTCGATATCAGACAGTAAACGCTTTGGGGACGGCAGGGTGACCAAGCTCTTCGGAACGTCAGCAGGATGAAAACCTGTTACTGTGAGAAATTTCAAGTTATCAGATTACTATTCCTTTGAATATGAGAACTAGCTCTAAGGCAGGCGAAGATGACCAAGTTTTGGCTAAGGATTAAACGTTGCGATACCGACTGGCTGTGGATTGAGATGATTCATAAAAGCCAAAGGGGGGGGGATGAAACTTACCGATTTGAACCTTGGCCTTTGTCGTCTTCTCCCTGTCCATTGTCGGTAAGACAGGCAGGTTGAGCCTCTTCTCTCGATCTCCCTGTTTGAAGAACTCCTCCGTGATGAAACTCGCCCAAAGGGAGCAGACCTCCCATGATCTGCAGGGATTCGATATGTCTGCACACTTTATAGCAATCTGGGCGGATGAGGAAAATGAGTGGCGAGCTTACCTGCTGCACAAGGAGAACATCCTCTGATGTCCACTTGTACTCTTCGACCTCCTTCTTTACATCTTTTGCCTTGTTAAAAGACTACCAAATACACTAATCACTGAAGAGCAGTACCATCTCACCTCGAATCTCTGCAGCAGTTCCGACTGTCTTGTTATGTCTGTAGCCAAAATGAGGGTTTTAATCGTGAGAGTAAGCGAGCGCCTAGAGAAGTAAAAAAAACCAAACAGCGAGTAGAAACATGGGAAGGTTCATAGGAAGAGGGGGCTAAAAAGACAGTAAACACAAATGGGTGTGCATTCCGCTAAGCCGAGTTGATAAAGTTTACTGAACGGACTCGAATACCACCGAAAACGCGGGCCGAGGACACTTGCCTATCAAAGTCGTTGCGAAGCATCCCGTACATGAAAGGAATCTCCGAAGTTGTGGCTAGATCTCTCGCGCCTCGTGGGATAGGAGTTGCCCATAAGCCTACCTGCACAATCCGGCGACAAGAAATGCGGCCAAAAGACCCTATATCCAAACAGGAGAAGTCAGGCGTCGTTCACCGATTTTAGTGCAGCTGCAGAGCATGCAATTATGTTGGAGAAACCGGCCGACAAATACAAACGCGAATGCACGAGCCTAAGCTGGCTGTAAGAAGGTTGGTCCCAAAGTCGGAGGTAACGATCTATGCTGCA